AGCTGTTTTATTTGTAAAGTGCGCTGATGAAGCAATTTCAAATAAACAAATCGAGAAAGGGAGTTCGATTTTGTCCTCGGTGAGAAGCGCATCGCTCGTTTATAGCTCCATGAAAAAGTGTGAAATATAGTTGACTTTGACTCAGGGAGGACAAAATTGGATTCCAGTCCTAGATAATATTCCTCGTTTTGTCCTTATTTAAAGGAATAGAGGAATTTATATGAATTTATAAATTTCAAGGTTACATAACCTATCTGTGTCCACGTGTTCGTTAGACAACCGTTGTATATACTTGTGACTGGTTAAAAGAGCCACAACGGCTCAGACCAATTCCATTACTGAGGGAGAGGCTTATGGTACTCCGGAGGTAGTGGAGAAAAATGAAGAGAGAGGGAGAGAAATCGAGAAAGCTGAAAAATCAAAAATCAATCCCAGCTCTCTTAATATTAATATCGTCAATACCAAACTTATAAAGAATGGAATGCTTATAAGTTGTAAGGATAATGACTATCTACAAAAATTGAAGAGTAATTTAGATGAACAGATTGGTAATGTCTACAGTGTTACTGAAGCTAAAAAATACAATCCTAGGATTATTGTGTATGGAACGGATGGTGAAGTGGTTGATGATTCCAAATTTATATCAAATTTATTAAAAGACAATAATCTAGACTTTACAGAAAATGATTTGAAGTTAATAACTAAAATAAGTAGTAAATCCCTAACAAATGTGGTACTAGAAGTAATTCTTCTCTATTTAAATCAATTATGGATAAAGGTACATTATACATTTCTTGGAAAAGGTGCATGGTTCAAGAACATTTTAGTTTAACAAAATGTTTTAAATGTTGTAAAATAGGTCAACATATCAAGGACTGTAAAAATCCCATATCTGTTTGTCCTAAATGTTCTGAAGCACATGATAAAAAAACCTGTGAAGCACAATCTTTTAGCTGTGTAAATTGTAAAAACCTTAATTCCAAACTAAAACTTAATTTACCTATTAATCACATTGTTAATCATCTTCAATGTCAATATTACTTAAATAAAGTTCAACAACTCAAGACTAGAATTAATTATGAATTATAAAACTAATATTAATAATGTCAAAATTGCTGATCTGAACTTAAGATCAATTTTTACTGGTTTTGAGGAATTTGTTAACATAAGTGTTAACAATAATATAGATCTAATGTGCATCTCTGAGACATGGCTGAACGAAGGCATACCGGACAATGTTATTAATATACTTTTGTTTTGCGACATTTAAAGCGGACTTTCAATCAATTAAATGGAATAACATTATTTACTTATTAGACATAAATGAAAAAATTAAGTTATTTAATTGTTACATTTTGGAACTTTTTAACAACCATGCTCCTTTTACTTCTGCCAGAGTAAGTAAACCTTTTTGCCCCTGGATAACTGATGCTATTAAACAACTAATAAAAGAACGTGATAAGGCGCATCAAAAATTTAAATGTACTAAACATATTAGAGATTTTAATTTCTATAAAAATATACGGAATACAATTGTTGAGGCTATTAAAAGAGAAAAAATGGCATATCTTACCACACAACAAAATAACCCTGATAAATCTAAATTGTGGAAAACTCTTAAACAGTTGAATATTAAACAAAATTCCTTTAATACCATTCCTAATAATTTAAGATATTCAGAAAATATAAACAATTTTTTTCTTTCTGTGTTTAGTCCACCCAATAATTGTGTTGCAACTGTTGATTACTACAACTCTTTAAAATTTTGTGATACTACATTTTCCTTTAAATTAGCCTCAGTGGATGATATATATAAAATAACATCAAATTTAAAATCCAATGCTTATGGATCAGACAATATTTCAGCTAAAATGTTAAAGCTTTGTTTACCCACTATATGTCCCATTATAACCCATATAATTAATTGTTGTTTGCAATACGGTTACTTTCCGGACTTGTGGAAATTATCTTTAATACAACCTTTGGCCAAAAATAATGATACCAAATTTTTCAGCGATCTTCGCCCCATTAGCATTTTACCAGCATTATCCAAAGTATTGGAAAAGGTAGTATACAGTCAACTTTACAACTATGTTATAAGCAATAAAATTATTTCCGATCTTCAATCTGGTTTTAGGAAAGGGCACAGCACAACAACAGTCTTAACTAACATAACTGACGACATATTTGCATCTCTGGACGGTGGATTGGCAAGTGCGCTTATATTGCTTGATTTTTCAAAAGCATTTGATACGCTGGACCATTCACTTCTCTGTGCAAAACTCAAATATTATGGTTTAGATATAACTTCATTCAATTTTTTTACTAGTTATCTTACTGGCAGAAGAGAGTGTGTCGTGCTTGACGATTCAAAGTCAAGAGTTGCCAATGTGTCGTCGGGAGTACCTCAGGGATCTGTTTTAGGTCCTTTATTGTTTTTAATTTATACATCCGACATTTTTAGTTCAGTTTCTTTTTCCAAAATTCAAACTTTTGCTGACGATACCCAACTTTTGTATTCTTTTAATCCGAAAAACCCTCATTTGGCAAGCATTAATATTAATAAAGATCTAAGGGCTATATCTAAGTTCGCTTACTCTCACAATCTCAAATTAAACCCTTTCAAATGTACATACCTAGTCTTTTGTAACAATATATATACTGAAGAATTAAAAACTAACCTTCACTTGAAAGTTGATAACAACCCTATTACTTCTAGTAATACAGCTAAAAACCTAGGAATTATTTTTGGCTGTAAGCTAAGATTTCAAGAATATATTTCAATTATTTTAAAAAAATCTTATTTGGCACTTAAACTTTTATACAACAATAAAAAAATTATTAATTATAACTTAAGGAAAAAGTTAGTAGAAACACTTGTTTTACCGTTTCTCAATTATGGGATTATTGTCTATTACCCATGCCTTGACCAAATAAACAAAACTAGAGTTCAAAAAATTCAAAATTCATGCTGCAGGTTTGTATTTGGCCTTCATAAATATGACAGAATTTCTAGCAAAATTAATAATTTGGGTTGGTTAAAAATTGAAAATTTATTTAAATATAATTTGTCTGTTTTTGTTTACAATTTACTTAAATCCTCAACGCCTTTGTATCTTCGTAAAAAACTAACTTTTAGATATAACCTACACGATTTAAATATTAGATATAAATTTAAGTTATCCTTACCAAGATTTCGATCAGCCATCTTCACGAGATCATTTTCGTATAACGCACCCTGTATTTATAATGCCATTGATGATAATATTAAGTCTCAGTCAGAAAAACGCTTTCGCAAGGAAGTTAAGGCATGTTATTTTTCTTTACAGATTTAATTATTTTATTAGGTTAAGTTAGATTTAGTATTAGGTTAAGTAAGGGTTAAGTGGAGTAGCCTGGCTAGACTTCGCCTTTTAATTATTGTATTTTGTATACGTAATTAATAAAGACATTATTATTATTATTATTATTATTATTATTATTATTATTATTATTAAATATTGTGTTTGCGTGAACACGTATAAAGTGCCGGGGTTAAAAACTATGTCGTGCGAAAGTTTGGCATTTAATATGTTTAATATGTCCGATAATAGACCTAATTACCAAAACATGTGCGCAGATTAAAAGTTATAAGCAACAAATTGGGGCCATCCTTTCAACTTAGATATTTATGAAAGTGATGAAGTAATATTTTTCCGCAGTAATCGTATTTGTAACTATGGTTATTAAATTGAACTAAATTTAAACTAAATCAGTTTTTTTGTGATGAATCATTTGGATTAGTTATGGAGCAAAATATCTGACAAGATAAATTTCCTGGTAGAGTAATTTCACATGATGGGAACAGAAAATGAGCACCGCGAAGGTTTTTTAAAGTCTCTCATCAAGAACTTAAGCAAAATTTAAGCAGCGAATGTGGTCAAAAAGTCAACATAAAAAAAATACCAAACCACTACTGATTTTATTAGCAAATCCGGCGATATTATTAGGACACCCTCTATGTTTTACAGTTTTAAATAGGTACACCTAAATTCAATTTTAAAAGAATCCAAAATTTGTACAAAATTATCAAAAAACTTTTATAAATCTCTTTTTTTCACAAACACTAATAATCTATTTTTCTTAATTTTAAGCCTTTGGATAATGCATCAAGTCCATTTACTTTATTATTTTTGATAATGATAGTTAGCAGTTTGTTTATTTTAAATTGGTATGCAAACGAAATACAATATCAGGTATGTTTTTTAAATTACTTCTATACAATTATACAATACAATTTATATACAATTTATCTTAATTTATTTGTGACGCGCTAGAACAAAAAATATGAGCGTCCAAAAATTAATTTTTGGATTATGGATCCCTTTAATTATTTACCTAATGTCAGAAATAATTTTCTTTAAACATTTTCCGTTTGTGCTGCCGTCTAGCGCGCTCCAAGTGAGGAAGCAAGAATAAGGTTCCTTTTCTCGGAGCGCGTCACATATGTATTATTAATTTTAGCATAGTGAATTGGACCTTTCAATTTACAATTCCTTTTGGTATTTAAAACATTCCAAAGTTCAAAAATTGCTTGCATTTACTATGTTTCGATCACAGAAGCCACTATGTCTCACTTTAGGGCCATTTTTTTCAATATCTAATGCTACTAGCATAACTGTAAGTATTGCATTTTAAGTTTTAAATAATACAACATACTATAAAATCTTATTATTTTTTTAGGTTTTGAAAGCAGCTTACTCTTATTGCACGCTTATGATTCGAGCTTATGATATTACGGACCAAAACAAACACGACTCGACAAAAGTTTAATATTTATTAATTACAAATTTCATACAAATTTTAAAATACATAGATTATTGTATTATAGAATAATATATTAAATATTAATACTAAAATATATTCCCATAAACCCCATCAAAATATCACAGCTAAATTACTAAAAAAAATTACAAAAAATATAATTAATTAATTAGTTATTAATTAGTAAAGGACACATTCGCATAAATTACGATTTAATTTAATGTATAATAAATTAAATTTTAAAAATTGCTATTTGCTATGAACGAAGTCCCATTCCGTTGATCATTATATTGGCTAGGGCATTTCTTCGTTTTCTCCAAGCACCCATGCCTTGGGCATGGTATTGAAGTTGACGGTACCAAGTGTTTGTTTGATCTTCATCTTCGGCCTACAAATTAAAAATTAATTGGAAAAAAATATACTATATACACAGATTTATAATTAGGTATTAGGATTGTGTAAACAATTTCATTTTACAGCCCAATTATTAAATTATTATTTAGATATCATTAGATTTATATCGGTTGTGTATACAAAATTTAAAACTAATGTTTAACGTTTTAGTTTTGTGAAATATATTTACTTTTAATAACTGATAGGGATTTTATTATTTTATTTTATTTATTATTCACTAATTGAAAATATAAAGAGAGCTTTTAATAAACATGTATTTAATTTTTTAACAATATTTGTACCTATTAGGTATGTTCTTTAAAATTTTAATAAAACTGTAATATAAAACATTTATTTATTTAATATTTTATGATGCTTTTAAACTAAAAAAAATTAGGAATAAAAATCTAATTTAATAAAACATACATTATAATAATAAGGATAACTAAATATTTCATTATTGCCTAATATAAATAGTCAAAATTAATTAAAAAAAATATGTGTCTGAAACACTACATTACAAAAAAATATTCATAATAATAATAGGTTGGTGTGACATTTTGGATTAAGTAAATAATGATTGAAAGAAACCAATTATAATAAATATAAAACTTATAAATTGAGATTTGTTTTCTTGACATAAATAGTAAATTATTAATATTTTATTGTTTTTTATTTACCTTAAATATGAAAGTATCCTTCCCCAGTAGTTCCTGTACCTCAAAGTAACTCTGCCAAGCAGGATCTGCTGCAATAACACATCTATCCAAATACAATGGTTCTCTTAATAGGGAATATCGTCCATTTTTATCTCTAACTAGAAGAAGTGCCGCATCCCTAATACCAGAATGTCTTGAAAATATCAATCCATTTTCCTCTGTGCGATCGTTTCTAGCAGACGGCTGTGAACAAGTTTTAACAGCGCATTAATATATGCAACCCAGACTACACTAAGACAGCCCTGAACGCATTTCATTAAATTTTAGAAAATTATAATTTATCATTAGATTACGTTTTAAAAGTTTTATTTTTTTGAATTTTTTGATTAATTACGTTTTTATACAGTGGTATAATGGGGTCCCCCAAATATCGAGAAGTCTTTTACAGTCTGAAAAATATAAGCGAAGTCTTTACGTGGCCTCCAGGAGAAAAAAGTTTTAGTACTTATAGTCTGTTTTCCGTGGCTAAGCATGGATATCTCGCTTATCTTATCTTGGCTAGCAAAAAGTTTTGGCAGATTTAAAATATCCTTGAAAAAGTGTCTTCAAAATGAATTAAAAAAGGCGTTTTTGAAATAAAAAATTAAAATATAAAATTACAAATTCTCTTGGTTTTTTACGATATTTCGAAAACTAAAAGTAAAATTTATTTTTAGATCATTGATCCTCATGAAAATGTACTTTTTCCTAACTTAATCAACTATGTTTTATTCATGAATTATTTTTTTAATGCTTGAGTATATTTTTACTAGAAAAGTCACCATGATTTTTTTAGAGGTCGCTAAATCATTTTTTATCTGGAAAATGCTTGGTTCAGAGTAATTTTCGAAAATCTAAAAATCATTTTAATCTTTAATAAATAACAATATTTGACTATTTCATCCCAATTGCAGTAAACAAATGAATTTAAAGGGTGTTTATAGACTAAAATATAACAAATGTAAGTGGGAAAAAATGGCTGGAACATGGCGAAACTTGCAGTAAATATCGGGGTAAACATTTCTTAAATTGTTATTTTTTGTGTTTTTTTTGCAGTTCAATTCCTTATGGTTTCAAAAATACAACCAAATTTGTTATATAATAATTTTGAGAAAGTTACAATGGAAATTTTGAGCATGACTTTTTAAACATAAATATTTCATAAACAGTTTACGATTTGTTACGCCCTGCGGGAAGGGTTTTTCAAAACGTCAAGTGACAAAGTTAATTAAATGAAATCGCTTATTAGTATTATTTTTAGACAGCTTATTATATTAAGTCGTTAAAAAAAGAATCAATTTTTGTTTTCAAAATAATTGTTTTGTTTAATTGTGTTACAAGTTAGAGAAGGAAAGGTAAATTATGACCATTTTTAGCGTCACGAAATTTATACACGACATCTAAAATAATTCACAAAAAATCTTTTTGACAAATAGTTTTTAAGTTTGAAAATTGAATGTAATTTCCTTTATTTTAATTTTTTTTTTAATATTAAAGTTTCAAAAATAAAAAGTTAAGTTATGATGATTTAAAGTTTACAAACAAGAGTGATCTAGAAAGTAAACGAACTAGAGGTTCTCTTTCAAGGGTGAAGGATTACTATTATTATTTGACATAAAGAATATGTAAATCTTACCTTGCCATTAATCACAAGAAGTGCATTTACTGGCGACAGTTTGATGGTTCTTCCCTTTCTCCAGTTATTGTCTGTTGGTTGGGTATACAATAACTTGCCCTCCAAAGCAAACTTGGCTTCCTCATGATTCCATTCCAAAACGTCTACTGCAAGTTTTCTTAATTTAATATTAACCAAGTCCATTTCAGCGCTAGATCTTCTTCCGGAGCTGCTGCCAATTCTCCTCCACAGTTTGCTCGGAACGTCTTTAGTTTCTGAATTCATGTGATTTAAATGGAGTTCGATTTTATGCTGAGCTTCTTTAAGCTGTTCTTTAGTTTCATGGTGGGCTGGTGATACTTTATACAAACGCGCTAACAAAAGTGGGTATTTTGTGACTCTTTGAACGGGAACCATTAAAAAAGAGTTTAGATTCATACGTCTTAGTAGAGTGTTTTCCATTTGGGATACTCTCAAAAATATTCTAAGTAGTTCTTTGTCCTTTTCTAGACTTGCTAATAATAAACTGGCTGCACCCTGACGGACGCAGTAAGTTTCAAATGCATGAAGCATCGGTGCTGCTTCTAGGAACAATTTTCCGATATTTACAGTTAGCAAGTCGTCATCTCCCTGCTCTAGAGCAATCTCGACTGCATCTCTAAGACGTTCAGCAAGAGCCTGACTATTTTCAAGAAGTTCTTCGGCATTAAGAAATATGGCGGACAATTGGTCAGGCGTCAGTAAGCCTGCAACAAGCATGGGCTGATAGAATTCTTCTAGAATTATTTGTAGGTCTCTGCTATATTTTTCTTCGGTTTCCACGATTTCAGTTATTATTTCCTTCCTTTCGGTTCGTTTTTTAATACATTTTCGACAAATTAATGGATCGTTTTCTGCCTTTAATTCTATTACTGTATCGCAATCTTCACAAATAATTGATGGTTCCTGCTTAATTCTATATTTACTTAAGGAACTTTTGCTAGTCTCTGATCCAACACCAGAATCATTTCTTTCCACCTCAGCAGGTTTTTGATATGTAGCTTTCTCATCAATTATTGCACCAGACATTATAAGGGAGTTATCTTCACTGGAATCACTAACAGTGCTCATATGTGATGCTCTATTATAAGGCTCTTTGGTATCATCATCATGAGATGTTCCGTTACTACTGTAACTATATGAATAGTTGTCCTCTTGGACACGATCTTTGGCATCCACCAAATAGCTAAGAATATCATATTTTGAAGCACCTTCGAATATGGATCTAAAAAAAAGGAATTATTAAATATTAAGAATGAAAAATTTCCCAAAGATGTACAATTGCTTGAGAAGTGCCTAAGCTATATTTAATATATTAAAAAATTAAGCCCAAGAATAAAAAGGATAAAAGGATTTAAGCTAAAGATCTAGTGTAACTTTTCTTTTAGAATGTCATATACAGGGTGTCCAAAATGTGATGGGATAGTATTGCTATCTCGGTAACGGTTATAGTTGGAATAGGGCATCAAGAGTTCAAAAGTTGCGTAATTACGTGCCTTTTAATATGGCATAGAAGATTGCAAAAAAAAATCAGCGGTTCTCAAAATATTAAAAAAAATATAAAAAACGGTTAAAACTTATTATCGCTATAACTTTTTTATTTCTAGGAATTTTAAAATACTGAAAGGTTTACATTAAAACATATAAAGTAGTTTTTCAAAATTTCTATAAAAAAAAAATTATAGTGATAATAAGTTTTAACCAATTTTTAGTTTTTTTCAAATATTTTGAGAACCGCTGATTTTGTGTGCAATCTTCAGATGCCATAATAAAAGGCATGTAATTACGCAACTTTTGAACCCTTGATGCCCTATTCCATCTGTAACCGTTTCCGAGATAGCAATGCTGTCCCATCACATTTTGGACACCCTGTATAATTTTGTTCCAATTTTTTTTTTTTAATTAAAAAGAGTGAAACCTGTTTATGTATACATAAACGGGTTTAATTCTTTTTAATTTTAAAAATAAGTAGCATGTAGGGCAGTTCGGGAAGTGATAAATATGACCCAATTGTTCAGATGTATTTTAACGTTAAAGAAGTATTCTTAGAGTAATGGAAAAAGATAAGACACCTTGATGTTGGCATTAATAATCACCCTTTAAGCTTTGCTAGCTCATGTTTTTAATAATATTCTGAATGAATTGCTAATATATTTCAATCACCTTCGTAGGGGTTTAATTAGTGAAGCTTTATTCAACCAATTATATGTTTTGGTCAAACTAGTAGTTTTAAAACCTTTACCCCTGAATAATTTTAACACATTTTTATTCCATTTTACAGTTAATTCTTTAAAAGTACCTTGTTGTAAATTCCTTGTCCAGCTGGAGATCATCAATTAAACTAGTGGGAGGAGGATTGGTTGGCAGTGGAGGTGGAATTTCGATTTCTTCGTATATAGGATCCGTGTTAACTTTAATACTTTCGTAATGATGATCTTCGTTTTCGGAAACTTCTATAAGCGCCGCGTCGGCCAGTAGCTCATAAAATTTCGTTCGGTTCGCCAGCTCTTCTTCCGTAACGGAACTTCGGTTACTATGGTCCGTATAGCAGTCAGAACCTGGATCCATAAGTTCGTACTGCGTTGACGAACTATGCTCAGAACACAAATCGTCAGCTATCGACTCGTAATTTTTAAGTCTTAGGAAGGAATCTTCAATGTTTTCCAGTGGACATTCCTCCAAAGGCGACTCTAAAAGTGAATCAGTTTTTTTGTATAGCGGAAGGTTTTTAAATTTCGTGTCACGTTGTCTCCTAGACACATCTGATTTACCACAGACGTGAGGGACTAAGTTTCGACGAACTGCTTCTACAGGATCCCTTAACAATTCCTTTAGTAACTCCGAGGATGGTATATTATTTTCATTAAAGCTTTCCACCAAGTCATCGTTTTTACTAACTACATCACCCAATAAATCATTTGATATTTCTTTATTCATTAGATTTTGTTCCTTACTTAAAACTTCTCGAATGATGTCTTCAACAACTTTAATATTCTGTTCAATTTTAATTTCGTTAGTTAAGGGACTGCTAGGAACAAAACTGCCGGTAATGTAAACCGAACTGCTCTTTTTGCTTGGGGAGCTTAAAACATCGATTCCGCTATCTTTGACAACCACTGAGGATTGGTAAAGTGGCACATTATCGTTTACATTAACCGTAGAATAACAATCATCCCCATTTATTAATATAGATGTTTTTCTTTGGGCATTATCCAAAACTGATACTGTTTGAATATTATTGCATGTATCTTCAAATTCGTTTTTTATTTGCAACTTATGAACAGCCGGAGTGGCGTTTATTTGTACAACGGTTTTATTATAGTAATCGTTGTAAGATATTGGGGAAGTTATTGGTAATTCGACTTTTAATGTTTGTACTGTGGGTGAACTAACAATATTAATTTGTGGTTGCTTATTATTACTTCGCTTTCTTGGTGGTGCAGAAGGAGGAGAAAGATCTTCTAGAATATTTTTTACAGAGTCGACCTTTTTTTCAAACTTTACTTCCGGATACTTTTCTTTAAAATTAGAGTTTTTAATACTGCTAAAATTCATAGACTCGTAATTATTTATAGGAGTTTCATTTGTTGTTTTAAAATTATCATCATTTACAATTTTGGTATCACATTTTTCATGTTGTTCTTCCTTAACAAACTCTATAATAGAAACGTCTTCATATTCGTCTAAATCGGTGGTTTGTGGTGGAGGAGGTGGAGGATCACTTGGTCGTGGAGTAAATGAAATTATCTTTCTGGTTTTAGAAGATAGTCCATCTAATCTTTCTAGATCTTTTTCGTTAAATGTTATCCTTGCATCTGTCCTAGGTATGCGTGTTCTTAAGGCCATAGTATCAAGAAAAACAACTTTTGCATGGTCCTGTATAATTCTGTCACTAATACTTCTTTTAAGTTTGCATACTTTTGGTGGTGTGGGTTTTTCTAAAAAATAAAATATAATAAATTATGTTAATAGAATAAAAAAGTTAATTATTTAATAATAGATTTTGGCCTATGTGAATGTAAAAGGTTGTTGTATAATATTGAATATCAACCTAACTAAAATTGCATCCTTGCTTCAATATTTATAAACTAAACCCATAACAATAATAACGTTATTTTTTAAATGCCAATGTAGTATTTAAGTAAAATAAAAATTATGCGATATAAGTGCAGGGAAAGTTTAAAACGTGTCAATTAAAATAAATCTTATCGTACAATGTTTTAATTAAGTTGGCTTAGGGTTTACATAATAATTATTATTCAGGACAGCTTTTATTTATAACATCAATTAACATCCCTAGACTTACATAGGTATAACTTATATTTTATAAATTATAGTTAATTAATATTTATAATTAATTGCGTTTCATTTTGCAACAATAAATTAATTTTAATTATGGTTCATCTCTTAGATAAACCTTTTTTTATAAACCTTTTTAATTGTTACATTATTTACAATTTGTATCTACATAAATAATTTGACATATGAGATGTAATTATTTTAAACTAAACGTCGTTAAAATTGAAATAGGCTAAGTGCAATACAATTTTGTGTAATAAAAAATAACTTTTGGAAATAATTGATAGTTTGACATTACTCAAATTGTTCATTATAATTTTTTATAGCGTAAAATATTTTTTATGGGTAATAAAATATATCGTTAGGGAATAATGTTCATTAAATAATCAATAATCATATATATTAAAATTTAATTGCAATCACGGGTGGTCTATTTTATTTTGAAATGATGTACTCTCTTAAAATAAATTAATCAAAAATGAGTAATTGTCATAGGGAAAAAGCAGCCACTATTAATTATATTCAGCAGCAATTTGTATTTCAGACATTAAGCAGTAAATTTTTTGTAAAATTTTTCGCTGAATCCGAAAATGTTCTCAAAAGTTATAACATAACATATAATATAACAGTTTTTGAGATATAGCAATTTTTTATATAATATGGAATTGACTATATTTCAAAAACTGCTCTCCTTTCATATTTTTTGACAGTATTTTCGGATTTGGCGGAAAACTTTACAAAGAAATTAACTGTTGATTGTCATGGATACAAATTGATGTGGACTACAGTGTTTAGTGGCTGATTTTTGGCTTTGACAATTAGTCAATTTTGACTAATTCAATTCAGAGTATATAATAAGCTTAATTAAATAATTTCTTACCCTCTTGTTTTTTTGTTACAACTAACATTGAAGCTGCCTTAGTCTTTTCTTCTATAAAAACATCGTCCTCGTACTCTGGTAGTTCGATCTCCTCAATTTCTGGACTTTCTGGCTGTGGAAGCGGTTGAAGAGAATTTTTTTCATTTTCAACCAAAAATTGTACCTTTTTTCTTGGACTAGTACACGGCATCTGTACGTAGAATTGAGACTGTCCTCTAGGGGCAGGAGAAGGACAACTTTCAGGACCCGTTGAATCAGTATCACTGAAGGTTTGAGCGGGTTTCTTTAGGATAGATTTAAATCGGCTGTTAAATTCGGGTTCCTTTTCAATATGTTTTAATGTGGATACAGGAATTTTAGTTTTGCTAAAAAATAAGAATAATATAATATTGCTTATAGACCAATAATAATTATGTATTTACTGCATTTGTTTCTTGTTTTTTCCACTGGATGATTTTGACGGCGATCTTTTAATCTGGACATCATCGTACGTTTCCTCGTTAGTTGAAGGCCTAACACGTATTCTTTGCCCATTAACAAATGTTATGCTCGACTCTTTATTATCGGTTGACATTAACTCATATGGGTTAATATCACATTCTAGGATAGATCGCCGGCCAAATGTCGAATTATAAGATATATCCTTGGAAGCTTTAACAAATAACAAGCCAATAAAAGTATGTACTATGGTAATATAGTGTCTGTATTTGAGAAATGTAATTTTCTTAATAATTGAAGCGTGGTAATTCAAAAGCGTCCAAGTGCCGCTGCCGTGCAAAGAACAAATGTATTGAACAATATTAAGTAATGCATTAGTTACCACCTTTTTGCTTAGCACTGCAGTGGCACTTAGACGCTTTTTAATTACCACGCTTCAATTATAGTGAATCATTATTTTAATTTAAAACTTTTATCCGAAAACGGTCGTAAAGTAGTCAACAATCGGCAGTAAAGTAGAACTTTACTGCCGATTTAATACGAGTATTGTATGCAACCCAGTATACATTTTAAGATGTTTCTACTGTTCCTCAGCAGCAACTAAATATTATTTAAAAAAAACACCGTCGCGGATGTCGATTGGACACTTTCATAAAATGTTGTTTAATAAAAATAATGAGTTAATTTTATTAATTATATTAAAAAATCGCCGCGGCGGGCAAATATATCATAACCGTCGCAACAAACTGTATACGTAGACACTTCCTACATTCAAATGACATTTGATTTGATCATCAACATTAATTATACTATGATAGTTCGAATTACTAACATTGATTACGCCCACCTATATTACCAAATTTTGGGCTGCTGATTTCAAAAATGCCACTCGTTTTGCTCCAGGACGTCTAGGATTCGAAATAATTGCGTAATAATATGATCTGCCCAATTATCTCAAAATGTAAGTTTCTCGTTAATATTTGAATTATAAATAATTATTAATTAAATTATTTTGCCTTAAATCTATTTTGGAAGTTCAGTATATTTTTGACTTTTTTTGTCAATATAAGTCATCGGTAGATAAATGTCAAAAATAAATTTTTTTTGTTCCAATGTAGCCGTATCTTTAGTAAGTATTATTAAATACCAAAACTAAAATTATAATGTTTTTTTGGTAAAAAGTATCATTTTTTGAAATTTTTCGTGTCGTTTTTTAAATTACAAATTAAAATAAAAAGGCAACAAAGTAAATGGGTTTCGGTATAATAATAATAATAATAATAAGTTTATTTTCAAAAACAACTAAGGTTGTACAGAAAAATAGGCAATTCCTTTTCAATATTAATAAAAGGATATGCCTATAACCTTATAAATAAAATAAAATAAAATAAGTGCAAATTAAATATTAATCAGCTAAGAATTACAATGAAAATTTCTTATGAAGCACTAGTTACCTAATCCACACTAAATCATTCAAGAATTCATGATATGAGTAATACGATTTGTTAATAAGAAGTTGTTTTAATGAAGATTTGAAATTTATTAAATTTTGAGATCTAATGTGAACAGGCAACTTATTGTAAAATTAAACATAACTCTTTGACTATTATTTGATATTTTTTATTCAAATCATGCCTAAAGTAACGAAAAATTCAATCTCTAATCTTACGTGTTTAGTCTTATAAAAATTTAATATCGAATTAAAGTATAAAGGCGCCTTTATCTACTTTGTCGTTCAAGCACATTAAAGTGCATCTATTAATTTGAGATTTAAAATTTAAACTTTAAATTGTATTTTTACTTAAAAGTGATTTTAAAAATCAAAAATTAAAAAAGAGCAGGAAGTGGTAATGGAAGTGGTAATGGAAGTGGCAGAGAAAGAGAAAGGAGACGAACCTTTATGTCGTAGTTGTAAATTAGTTTTGTTTTTGTTGCGGTACCTTAACGCCCAAGAAAAACCAATGCAATATTTCATTACAAAATTTTATGAGATATACCTACTACTTTAATTTTGCAGGAATATTAAATGAAATTGATATACAACGTTTAATGAAAGATCAAGCATTCTTAAATGCTCTCAAAGTTGACGAGCTTATCGCATATTCCAGTGTTAAAGCTGTCATTGAAAATGTTCTTGATTCATATCGGGCCTAAAATTGGGGCTAATTCATTGAAAAAATGCTCTCCGATTTGTAAAGAATTAGCGTTAATAAGTCATATGCCATAAAATACATTTTCTTTTTTTTCATCCTGATAAATTTGTCGAACTGATGAACATGGAGAAAGATTTCACCAAGTAACTGCAAATCTAGAGCATTGGTAGATATCTAGGGTATAGCGGAAAGAAGTTGGATTCATTCATAGACATTTGCTGGAATTTGCAGCAGAAGATGTACGACGATGATGAGGATTAAGCACAATAATACTATAATTTAATTCGATGGTTGATATATCATATACAGGGTGGTCCAGGATTAATCTGAAAATTTTTAATGATTGATAGAGCCTGAAAAAACAGTAAAAACATTTTTTTTTAAATGCATACTAATTACAATTGAGATATAGTCCTTCAAAATAATTTTTAAACCATTAAACCGATTTTTCTCAAATTTTGTGTAGATTAAGCTTCCGTCGATAATATAATGAAAATTTCCTACAAAAGGCCCAGTGGCGGAGATTTTGGGGGGATTACCCTTTTGATGTAACTTAACATGTCTGTTAAAACAGTAATTTTTGCTTAATATGTTAGTGGTGGTAACACGGTTTGGAAGAAAGTTTTGAGTCAGGGTCTTATCTCTGTTATATCCTTTTTCTATGGTTATACCTCCACAGAATGAGATATAAGGCCTTTCATAAAGAAATAATATTATTATTTAATATTTTTTATTTCCTTTACTTTATATTATCGTTTATTTTTGTTTATTTTGTCTATATAATAAAAATGGTATTATTTTTATGTTGGCAACGCTGACATAACCTAAAATTATAAATCATAAATAAAAATATTTCTGATCATAATTAAGCACAAGTTGTATTTATGTAACAAAAATCAGGTAATACGACGCATTTTACAATTAAGTACATAGTTTTTTTACACATTTTTATTTAATTTTAGCCTTCAAGTTACTTGAATCAAGTTGGGCCATCAAAACACAAGTTTATTATGGTTTCTTATTTCTGGTTCTTTATATTATGTGGGGTTCCGAGAGCAATAAGTGTCTCAAAAGTGTGAAATTGTAAATAATTGTGTTGTGTTGAAAAAAAGGAATAAACCATCCAAACTTTTAACAAATCGAAATGTTTGATTACAAATAAAACAAATTACTCGTTTACTATTCAACAATCAACTTGCCTTTTTATGTTGGTTTATACTTAATTGAATTAATATAGGCAAGTATTCAAAATTATATTAGAACCTTCATATGTTAAAGTTAGAGGGAAAATTAAATAGTTGGAGTTATAGCTTTTTTACTTTAATGGTTTTCAAAGGTTCATTTTTTTATATGCTTTGGGGATTTGAGTTAGACTCTCCAACTAAGAGGGGCTAGCTTAAATTCAAATGTTACTCATAAAGGTTACATGAATACTTTATTTTAGGCCTCGTAATGAAAGATGCTTAAGTTATGAAGGTTGCCAAGACACTATATTGAGTTGCAGCAATGGTTAAATTTTTAAAGGTTTCATATTTTAAATAAGGTTTCAAGCTCTGAGGGGAAGTGTTATCGAGGTATAAGTTATAAAAAATTAGTATTAATTTGGTCTTTCATAAGAATATGGATAAAAAGCAAAAGTATTGAGCAATATTATTGGCGCCTTGTTATGAAATGACCCTAATAAAATATATTTTATCTTTAAAATAATGATCAGATTCTTAAATATTACAATGTATTAAGTATAAGATAAAAGATAGTTTTGTGTACAGCCTATTTTATGTTGTATCAATAAAATAGTAATACACCCTTTTTTCAAGACTTGTCCATCCAGGTGGAGTGAAAATACTGTGTGAAAGTTTTTCGTTGAAATTCTTTATGTAATAGCAATAACAAGTTACTATTCATACTTGTGAATGTTCTCTTAAAATAAATGTTTATACAGGGTGTTTCATAATATATGCGCAGGACTTCAGGATGTGATAGCTCATCCAAAAAAATGAAAAAAGTCGCTATTAACTTACCCTCTAAAATGCACAATTTTCGAGATACAGGGTGTTGAAATTTTAGAAAAAAAATCGGTTTTTTTTCGAATATCTCTGGAACCGTTTACCGTACAAAAAACAGCTTTTGTAAGCGTTTTCTACTTATAATAAGCTATGTTTTGTGCCAGAAAAAAATTTTTTTTTACTCATAATTGGTGGAGATTTTGAAGGGGTAGCGGGTGTTTTTCTCCTCAACTTCTACGCCCCTGAAAAAAGTACGGTTTTGAGAGGCCCATTCGAACCACCAATGTTTTCTACACAAAAAAGGTACTCCTTGTCATAAGCTTTAAAGTTGACCGTTTTCGAGAAAAAACAACTTTTATGTTTAAAAACATGGTCAATTTAAAAAAAAAAACTTTTTCCTAATTAAACAAAATTTATTTTAACGTTAGAACAAGTAACAAAATCAAACGATAATTGCAAAATTAAAAAAAAAATGATTTTTTACACAAATGCTAAAATGTGCGAAATGCGTTACCTTTACAGTTTGGAGAATTTTGCAGACAACTTTTGAATCATTTTTTATTTTTTTTTAATTTTGCAATTATCGTTTGGTTTTGTTACTTGTTCTAACGTTAAAATAAATTTTGTTTAATTAGGAAAAAGTTTTTTTTTAAATTGACCATGTTTTTAAACATAAAAGTTGTTTTTTCTCGAAAACGGTCAACTTTAAAGCTTATGACAAGGAGTACCTTTTTTGTGTAGAAAACATTGGTGGTTCGAATGGGCCTCTCAAAACCGTACTTTTTTCAGGGGCGTAGAAGTTGAGGAGAAAAACACCCGCTACACCTTCAAAATCTCCACCAATTATGAGTTTTTTCTGGTACAAAAAATTGCTTATTATGAGCAGAAAATGCTTACAAAGCTTATTATGAGCAGAAAATGCTTACAAAAGCTGCTTTTTGTACGATAAACGGTTGCGGAGATATTCGAAAAACGATTTTTTTTCTAAAATTTCAACACCCTGTATCTCGAAAATTGTGTATTTTAGAGGGTAAGTTAATAGCGACATTTTTCA